CTTGGGAGCAGAAATTTAAGGTGTGAAAAGTCGTCTTATACGCCGGAAAATACGGTATTATTGCTTTATTTCGTGAAGTATGGATAACTGCTCTGATGATGTCTGTCACGGTACAGGCGAAAGTTTAACACAGTTTCATCGGGGTCGCAGGACGTTGAGCCGAGGGCTTCTTCGCACAATTCAACAGCCTTCCTACGCGGCAATCCTCCTTCTGTTTCCGGTGAGACCGAATCAAGAAATCCTTCCAACTTATTTTCCCTCCGAAATGGAGAGTCATGTCACTGGTTACTTTTGAGCCATCATGTTTGTACTTGATCATGAAAGCTTATTAGCACACGCAGGCAGACATGCCTTTAGATTAAGATATAATTTGAACCTGCCAACTCACCTGATGCCCTAACAATGTGCATAAATGTTTGGTGTAAATATTGCGTTTAGAGATAATATGCTGAGTTTTCCTGACTGGTTAACTTGAATATATTCGTAAAAATGGTACTACGCTCTAAAGATGTCAATTATATGACGGAAGATAGCATAGCGTTGTTTCACCTCCAGCAAAGTAGATTTCTTGAGGGACAGCGTCAGTTATATTGCTTGAATAAAGATAATCAACAACTGGCCAAGAGGAAACAGCCGTAATATTCTGGTGGGATTAACTCGTAATGACCTATCCTTGGACTTCCCCATTAAATGTTTAGTTTTGTAACATTACGTCACTGAAATTCGTCGCCATCAACTTTTACTTGAAACTGACGTGAACATAACAAAAAAGGTATCTATCCCGACCTTATCTTGAAGTACTTGATTCTTTATTATAACAAGAGGTGATGAATCTTTTTGGATATGTATTTTGGCATACTTTGACACAATCCGAAGAAATAGAAGGTATCTGCTCTCTTCTGAGCAATCTTGGTATAAATCCTGAATTCCATCACTTATTCAAAGGTCTTATATAGATTAAGCCCTTATATCGTTTACATTTTCAGTATATTTACATTTAGAATATCTCAACTTTAAAAAAAAAGAGCATGAAAGAGCAGTCCTTATTTATGCTGATTGGTTTTTAAAGGGAAAGAGTATTCTTAACGTGATCATAATGATCATATCTTATGCTCTGCTCTAATCTGCCAGGAAGAGCTAGTCGTGATTGCGAGTTGTTTTCCACCTCAAATGGAACTACTCGTAACTAAATCTTATCGACCAACAGAATGACCGAATATAATTTTTGATTCAATTCATTAGGATAGTCGTGGTGATTTTGTTAATTAAAGAAGAATGCATAAATATTCAATTATAATATAATCAAATAATGGTAATATAAAATACAAGTTCAAGTCTCCTAACTCAGGAAAAAAAAGAATTTTCGCACATAAAGAATTAGTTACTTTAAGTAATATGAATAAAATTAGTATAAATAAATGAGGCTATGCTACTAAAAACTGGCCAATCGAAATTGAGTGAAGCCAGAGTACTAATCGAGTAAGGGGGAAATGCCGAATTATATTGCCCAATCGCATTCTCCTGAGGCCAGTATACTCTCGTGTTCCGCAGATTTTGAACCCTACGCCCTAGTGGATTCTTCTAGGCCTTGGAAATCATGAGCGACGGCAGCCGCAAAGCAGTTATTAAGAATGCTGACATGTCAGAGGAAATGCAGCAGGATGCCATTGAAGTAGCAACTCACGCATTTGAAAAATTTAACATAGAAAAAGACATCGCGGCATATATCAAAAAAGAAGTAAGCGATTTTTACTTTCACTACCTTTGCAGTTCGACAAACGCCACGGCCCTACGTGGCACTGTGTTGTTGGCAGAAACTACGGGAGTTATGTAACGCACGAGACGAAGCATTTTATTTACTTTTACGCCGGACAAGTCGCTATTTTGTTATTTAAATCTGGATGAGCCTCACTATTTCAGACTTCGATTAAGGTCATCATATCCTGCACGGGAAGTTCGATTCAAAACTCATCTCTCAATAAACCCAATCTTTTACTTCAGACTTCTTTATCTTCTATTTTTCAACCCTGAACCCATATTTGAGGCGTCCTTTTCCAGTAATGAATGATGTATTCACAATTTGTTTTGATTTCATTGACCTTACATCTACGAATTATTATTTTAGCGTCATTAACAGTATTATAGCCCGATCCTACGCCTATTTGACGCTCTATCCTTCATTTAGTGCGATGTAGCGCACTAGCCTACATTCAATAGATGCGGGTTTTTGAAGCGCTAACTATCCATTCTTGTTGTTTGTCCTCGCACTGGACCACAAATACTGGCATAAGTGGGCAGCTGCATATCTTTAAGAGTCAAGAGATATTAGGCCCGCACTAAATTTTCGTTGCCTCGGCAATGCATATGTGCCTGTATTGACCCTCCTTTTATGCAGGCGTGTGAACCATTTAACCCTACTTGTCAAATTTAAAACCACTTGCGCGTCCCATGTCCCATTAGGAGCGGCGTCAAGCGAAGAACTCACAACTTAATCAACATTGACGTCATTTTGATTCGCTTTATTTATTGCTGGTATCTCCAGCCTTCACTATAATTGTCTCGTCCTAAGTCTATTACAGCCCCCATTTTTCCCTTGCGCCGTTGGGCTTCGCTCAATACAGCCAAAACGTGTTTTGCTGATTATTTTACGAATCTGTTCCCTAATCACTATCCGATGATGCACTTCTCCAACGGGGACTAAACCTACATCGATAAGATTTTTCGGACCAGTTAGGCACCAACATCTGGACGCGCGATAGCTTCAAACGCTTGCAGGGGATTGAGTAAAATTCCTCCGCCTGGGTCCACATATATAGACCGACGCTCGGAGACCTGTTCTTCGTATCATTTCTTTTTCCACACCTAATCGACTACCACTCAGCAATCACATAAAAGGCAACTAGCGACCCTTTAGTCGATGAGGCTTCGTAATCACGATACTAAAGGAACCTTACCAGTGTCGCTCGATAACGGCGTGCCTTGTCCCCTAAGACTAATGGTGGACGGGGCCTACTTGCGGCTACCGCTGAGCAACGGCTACGAAGGGTATCGTCGCACAATCCGCGCTCGTGCCTTCCTAGCTGTCTGTCAGAGGACAGTGCGTAAGTTTGACGCGTTCCCAACCAAGGGCGATCGCGATGCATGGCCAGCAGCCATAAGCACGGACCAGCCATCGCTGCTCCGAAAACCCGTAACAGTACTTCATGTGCGCCCACACTCAGGCCGCAGAAGACGATCACTTAAACACTAACTACGAAGAGTATGCGTTATTTGCGACCTGTCTCGGGCATCAGCACTTCCAACGACTTTATTAGATGGAAAGAATAGCAAGCATGTGTAAAACATTCCCACCTACTGTTCGAGGCCCTTAGGTAGTATCTTCGGCCGTGCCGGTTGGTGGATCTGCTAGGCTGTACTAGAACTAAAACAACACAAACTCTGAACTACAGATGAGACAGGTTGCCCACAGTGAGAGACCGGTGAGGGTCGGGCAATTATCCACGGATCCGTGAACAAATAAGACTGATAATTTGGAAGACACAACTAGATGAAATATTGCGACAGCTATGGTAAAGGAGATAAGACTAATACACCACAAGGCAGAAAGTAAGGCCAAGCACCTGTGAAAAAGGCAAAAATTTAAATAAGGAACGGGCCCATCAACACAGCAGTGCCATTAGGCACCAGAGGGAAGGAGATATGATTACAATATGCAAAAGCGTGCAAATACGGCGATGAAATGTAGAGAAATAAAAGAGCTTTCCAAAAACCATTTGCGAGAAAAAAAATCAAATTAAGATTTAATCCCTTTAAAATTTATTTCAATCAATTCATTGTCTCGACGGCAGCTTTGGGTTAAGCTTGAATCTGTTAGGGGGAATCCTGACTTTCCTCTCCTTCTTGCTTCGGTTGCGTAGAAACTTGCCATGAATTGCACAGCTGATACAATATCGATTTTCCACATACAGCTTCGGAAGGGCATATGAATCTAAAAATAAACAAGATATGAGACCCGTATCTGCATGGACCATAACCTCAACTAGTCCACTCTGCCAAAGTCTTAAATTTCGGTAGGATATGTGGTCAATTTGTTATAACTCAAATTGATGTATTGACCCCACCATTAAATAAGATCGGAATTAAGTAAACAAACCTGTAGGGTAGACGGATGCTGCGTTTAGGTCGTTAATAGCGGCAGCCTCGACCATGTTGCGCACAACAAATCTTCTGACAGCCTTGTCTTTTGGGCACGCCCGGCCACAATTGCTGCAGCGAATAAAATTAACGTGACCACGACCTTTTTTGGAGCGACCATGATTGCGACGCTTACGGGTCTAAAGAGGATAAGGAGGTGAATGTGCTTACCATGTCAAGGAGTATAGAGCGCGGCACAAACAAAAGACCGAACAAACACCGCACTATCACTAATATATTTAAAAATATAAATAAGATTATACTATATGTTGTATAAATATAAAAATAAGACGAATTAATGCACATAATCATTAAGTGTTTTAAAATCATGGTGATCCGAAGGACCTA